CGGCGGCGGATGACGCGTTAATCGCGCGACACAACTAATCGATGATGAAATTCGTTGCCAACGCTTTTAAAAGTAGATTTTTATCGATTTTATCGATTCGTTGTTGCAGCCCTAGCAAGCAGCATAAATATGGGTCAATTGGAAAAGAGGCGTACTTGTGACGTCAAAAACTACTAAAGGGCAAATTAGACTTCTGACACCGCACACATCAAATGTCGCTTAGGTCTGATCGTGAACCAGTTTTGCTGTTATGCTTCTGCACCGTCTGTCTGGAATTTCTAGGGATGCACAGCAGTTTCCCGCCAAAGCGCAAAGGTATTCCAGAGCTAGCGAGAACTTCGGCGGATGGTCAGGACAAACGGTGGGAGTGTTTATCTTCCAAAACAACAATGGTGCGTCCGCAATATGTCACGGAGATGGATCTAGTGTTCTAGACATCGAAGAGGAACAGGTTCTGTTAATGGAGTTGGCAAAAAGACCGATTAATCTTTCGTCGTAGTTGTCCATTGTAGTTGTTCGTTTTTTGTTTTTTTATGGCGCGCCCCGGCACTGAATTGAGAAGGACGACCACACAGACAGCCGGAAAGCCATACTAAGGACCAATCACAGCTGCTTTTTGTCTGCGTACTTCCGCTTGAGGTCTCCGCGGGTTCGCGACCGTCCGACACGTAGTCGGGTAACTGGTTGCGCACAGAGAAAGATATGATGGTTGCAGAGGCAATGCTTCAGAAGCATAAATTGGCCATAAATCTGCCAGGAATATAAGTTAATCTGAACTTAGAGCTGTTAGTTTTCTTAGGTAAAGTAATTACAAATGAGGAGGGCTGAGTATCTATGGCGCCAAAATTTAGATTAGGATTCATTTCAAACCTTGGAGGGCCCCCCTCCTGAGTTAGTGAAGAGAACCCCGAGCAGAGCGATGACCACCACGTCACTGTGCTCGAAAACCAGCAGAGTCCTGAGGAGGGAAAAAAAGGCTCTGATTAAAACATCATGAAGATACAACAATCAAAGATTTTGAAATAAAAGCTTCTGGAAATGTTTCAATTTACCTCAAAGGTCCACAGAGAGTCAGACCAAAGAAGCCCAGTAGGGATATAACACAGCTGAGAACGGCATGTTTAACCAACTTTATCCACTAAAACAGAGAACAAGAGGAAAACTGTTTATTTAAACACAAAAGTTTTATCTTAGAAAAAAACATTAAGTTCAGGTTTTAGAACGAAGGGCTGAAAGGGAAATAGATCAATGCAGCAAAGAGTATAATGATTAAATGATTTACAAAACATTAATTAATACATTTAGATACATTGTTTTAAAAACAAATCTATGAAACTGAGATTTTTTTTTTTTTACATATAGAACTTTATTGATCTCAAAATGGACAAATTAACTCTCTGCATTTAACCCATCCCTTTGGGAAGCAGTGGGCTGCCGTTGTGCAGCGCTATGGAGCAGTGTGGGCTTAAGGGTCTTGCTCAGGGACCCAGAGTGGAAATCTGTGAGAGTGGAGCTTGAACTCAGAACCTCATGAACACAAACACAATGCACCTGAGTGAAATTGGTCTCCCCAATTTCTTCAAACCTCACCAA